TTCTGATAGCACAGCTCAGATGTTTTTGCTACTTTAATTAATAGGGCTCACACTGGTGCACTTAAGGTAACCCTAGGGACACCTGCATGACCTTTCACTACAACAACAACAATCAGGAGCCCACGGGCTCCTGCAACAATTTATTGGTAGTTCCATATATAGATGGCAAAGCTCAAATAATAACAAAACTACGAAAGTTAAACTACTGTGTTAAGCCATTTGAATCAAGTTATAAAAACAAACTAATCACAAAATCGCTCATATTCAAGAATCCTTTCTATGTAAATATATCTGTTGTAATCGCAACCTTTCTGTTGACGCTCGAAATTTGTGTCCATTTATATCATGTTTATAAATGTCTTTTGAATACTTACGTACGCATGATTCGCATATGGGGCAATTCGCTCCCGACCAAAGTTTTCAATGTGTCGTATTTTATGGTTATATTAAAAAGTGCAACTTGGCACACAAAGCGTGAAAACTCACCAGTCATTACAAGATCACAAAATCGCAAAATCGCAAATTAAAACAGTCGAAACAGTAACAGTGATAGTAATCATGACCGGAGAACATGAAGCACTGCGAAAACGAAAAAAAATATTGTCTGTTTTTGAAGCCCTCATTAAGCTACTTTCAACTGCCCAATAGAAAGCTCTAAACGACTCTTTACTACACCTTTTGCTGTTCATTTACAGAAAACAAACATTCATTTGTGTCCAAATTTCTTTCATTATGNGTTCCTTACGCGCAAATGAAGGTCATATTGGTGTTAATGAGAGTTTAATGATCATAATGAAAGAAACTTGGAAACAAATGAATGTTTATTTTCTGTAAATGAACAGCAAAAGGTGTATTACCACTTAAGCGTTCCCTGATAAATGATGAATTTCGTGAAGGCACTAGAGGAACAACAGAAATGCAATAATGCTAGTCAATCGTCACGAAATTTGCAAGATCACAACTGAAACTGTAACAAATAACTATAATCATTATAACGAAGACGTGAACCTCTCCAAGTCCAGTAAAATGATTGCTTCTTTTCTGAAACCCTAAATCACAACTTTTAACTTAATAGGCTGCTTTAAACTATAAGAGGGTAGGGGGTGAATAGGTTCGGGCATGGACGGATTTGGCCTTTAAAAGCGACCAGACTGCAGACGTTTTCGATAAAAAGAGCAGATTAGCGGATTTCACAAATAAGGCGGATCGCCGAATGGACCGGAATTAAGTGGTTCCTACGGATCTTTGGTCCACCTTGGTTGGTATGTTGACGCTTTTGCCGTTTTTGTCGATTTTTGGGGCCATAATGCGCTCCTTTAGTTGAACGCCATTAAATTAATGTTTTGGGTTATGCTGCAACTTTAACTTTCGCGTAAAAAGGTATTCTTGAAAGATCAGCCTCAAAAAATCAAACATCTACAGTCCATTGCGGTGACTGTGTACCGTCCGGATAATACACAGAGGTTTTAAGTTATTTGTATCCGGATTTAAAAGAACATATAGTGGCGGATCGACGGATGTGGCCAAAAAATTAGTCCAGGCGAGTTTACATACTCCTATTCACTCTCCTCTTAGCACCCAGCGCAAACGCTCTTTCTGCTTAGATATCTAGGTTGAATTCCCGCCTGAGCAGTTCCTTGTGTGATTCTTGTAGTTTACCAATGGTTTCCTCTGGAACATTGATGTACTGGGATGTTATGTAAGGGAACCTGGGCTTCGAACATTTCTGTAGGTCTGGATGGTAATATCGTTTTCCCTCTTTGTTTGTGGCCACTTTGTTGTCCCAGTCGCCCTCTTTCGGAAAGTACCACCTTTCTTTGTGCTCCAGTACCAGATGAAAAGGGACATGCCGTTGCCGGTGGCAGAAGTCCACGTTGCATGTCTTACATTTCTCAGCTTGGCTTCTTCTGGAAGAAGGCGCACCACGAAAGGGTTGTCATTGTGGTGTATATGGGTGTACAGACCTTGACTGCTTTGCTTTTGAACTTCTGCTGGCGTGGTTTGTTGTTTGGGGGGGCGATATTTAGTTTTGTTTCGGCCTCCCTTTTTCCCGGCTCTTTGCTTGTCGACATTGGATTCTACCAGAGCTGTTTTTGCGCACCTTGGCCCTGATTTCTTCGCAACATGGTTTAAGTGCTTCTCAAGAAACCCTTTCAACTGAGCGACAGCAATAGAATGTTTACAAATACTATCAAATTTGTAACTTGGGCAATTGCAAGATACGAAATTTGTGTTCACAGTACACTGTACTCTACCGTTCTTAGCGTGTACTGCAGCGACTTCGACTTTGTTACTAGTAGAATGTAGGGTTGGCTGCTCCTGGATGGCAAGAGGGTGGTTTACTAGCAGCAGTGTGTTTTCCGCAACGTGCTTTGCTGTAACCGATTTGTATCCCATATTTTGCTCCAGAAATTTGGCAACATCCACGGAGAACTCGGAGAATTCTTTCTCTGGTAGTTGGGTGGGTATGTTGGGCTCAGCAATGCGTTTGCCCTCGACTGCTTCCTCCACTGATATTTTGTTCATGTCCGCGACACATTTCTCCCTTTCTTCGGGTGACCATTGAAACCAGGTGTCAGTTGAGACCGCAAGTTGTGACACAACCTCGGAAAGTTCGTACTCTTCACTTATTCCAGCAATGGCCAAACGTAATTCTTCCTGCTGCTTTCGGTGAATTTCTTCAAACACTGATGTGGTAAACTCAAGTTTGGTCAGTCCTCGGTCTTTCACATTCTCACTTGAAACAATATCCTTCTTCAAACTGGACATCACGTGGTTCATGGATTCTGATGGCTTTGTGTATGAGCGGACTGGCTTGCCGTCGGGACCGTCTTCTAGCCCAGCACGGCGTCGAACCTTTGCAACCACGTTGTTCTTCATCATCTCGTAGTTTGATTCTAGATATTTCTAGAACTTGCATTCATATGCGTCATCCTTGCCAAGCACGCCTCTTTCCTCCCTGTCAAGCTCCTCTTTTGAGGCTTCCAGTCGTCTTTTCAGGTCTTTTTTGTCCTCTGCATCCAGAATTCCCTCTTTCTTTCCCTTCACCTTGTTGATAAAGGTACTCTGTTGTTTTGTGGTGCAGATACCCAGTGTCCTTAATTTCTCTTTGCAGTTACCCTCAAAGTGTTTGAAGCAGCGTAGGTGTTTTGCTTTAGGCATATCTGCACTCCAAGCTTGGATCAATGCCTCTTCTCCGTCAGTCATGAAACCCCTTGCCTGATCCAGATGTTTGAAACATATTTGTTCAACTTTGAAAAAAGTGTAGCACTGTGCTATTCAAAATGCTAGATACCTTTGTCATGATGATGTTTGACTGCTGTCCGTCAATCCCTCGTGGATTTTCTCTAAAGTGCTCTTTGCTGTTGGGTGAAATGCGCGCGACTGGCCTTCTTTTCGGTTTCCGTGAGGTTGAACTTCGATGTTCACGGTGTCTTCTCCTGAGGTAATATGGTATTGTAACAGACAAGCATCATTTACAGTCTTCCCACTCTTCGATGTTAGAAGAAATATTGAACGAACAAGATTTGGTGATGCCTTGTTTCTTTTGGAATTGATCGTCAAGTGGTACTGCTTTTCGTCATGCAAAGTTTCTTTCTTCTTGGTGATAATTTCAAAACTGGTGTCGTTCTGGTTTACTTCACAAGCCACTTTCCAAACACCGCATCGTAGCAGACCGTTGTAAACTCCATTTCGGTCAACTTTGATATCCTCCCAGTTATTCAGCTTGCTAATGTCGATAAGGAAGGACATGTTTTGGCGTACTCCCAAGGGTTGTCTATCGCACATTTTCACATGAGGGGCTTGTCGTAACAATACTTCCACTGCTTGTTTCGGCTGGTATCGTTCTTTTCTCCCCAACTCAAATATTGGCTTGTCTTGTTGGTTGTTGAGGTACTTTACTTGTGGGATGGCCCTTCAAGAGTAAACGAAAAAAAGCCGTGTCAACCTTAAACGAAATAAAACGTTTAACTTTTGTTCAATGTGAAAAATGTTACAACTCGTATTATATTTTCTTTCCAGACTGTTACCTTGATTTGTAAACTACACCATGCAAACCTCAGAAGCATTTCTCATCTAATCCGACACCAATTTTACTATTTTTTACATTGTGGGCGAGTGCCTGCACGTGCAATATATTTCATGCCCTGGCAATGCCATGCTTTTGTGGGATAGTCACATACTCTGCGAGTTAGAAAAATGATTCAAAGCTGATTCTAATTATCTCGAAATCTCCGTAATTAAAGTGGACCTGTTGCTACGCTTTCTTTTTAATAGGGGTACCCTGTCAAGAAGGGTCACTTGAAATTCGCCCTATCACTGTCCGCCTTCTCACCAACTTTCAGTCTCATTTGCCATGAAATTCTGGAGTGTATGTCATACCTCGGACTTCAAAAGGATTTTGGCAAAGT